TTCCAGGTCAGAGATGCCCTGGGTTTGTGGAGAAGACCATACTGCTGAGGCTGCCTGCAAAGCCCCATCTTGCCTACCAAACTGATAACCACATGGGAGCCTCCTCCTTCTGGCTGTCATGCAAGAACTCAGAGCCCATTGCTCACTACAGGCCTGGCAACTCCAAACACCACTTCAACCAGAAAGGCCACCTCTCTCCTCTCTTCCTGAGCTGAAACACCCCTTCCTGCAAGGCCAGTAGGGCCTGCTCCTCCAGAAGGCCTTCCCTGAGTGCCACCGCCCACACAAGCTCCACCTTCTCTGGGGGTCCATAGCCCACACAGCCTGCTCCTTTCATTCCACCCCTCAGTTGGACCATGCCCTTGGTGGCCACTTGGCTCTTTGAGTCCATTTCTTTGCCCAAACAACACATGCGCACTATACAGAGTACAGGGGAGTCTCCCTTCCTCCAGCCTGCCCTCACTGCCCTCTGCAGGTCTGGGCAGAGCAGTTGCTCCATAGAGATGTTTAATGGAGGTCTGGTGTTAGGGAGCCCAATGTAGATTTCAGCTCTCTTTTCAGCGTGGTCTCAACATAACCTTGGAGTAATCCCTGCATTTTTCCCTTCTAGTTTTAAATCCCCAGCATCACCCAGTTTACACCAATCTGGCCCCCTCTGCATCCTGCCTTCTTCACTGCCTTTTCCCTTAAGGCTCCTACCCCCATCACAGATCCTCGCAGGCAACTTGGATTGTTTTCTATTTTCTCCTATGTGGAACTCCTCAGGCCTGGAAGACATTTAACCATCTGTTGCCATTTGCTGTTCTGGGGCTTTTCACTGGGTATGACTTTGGTCTAACTAGACAGTGAGTTCTTTGCAGCCTTGTCCTTTCTTGGCTGCTTCCAGAGGGAAATCAGAAAGACTGGATGAATGCAGGAATGACTGAGTGGTGATGCCTCCAAGTCAAGCAGTGCAGACCTGGGATGCCGAACTGCTGGGGGTCTTCTAAATTACGTGTTCAAAAGTGTCCGCCTAGGGCCCTGCAGCTCCCCTTCCTTACAGCCCATATGAATACAGTGTTGACACCACTCCCCAAGTCAGCTTAGCCACTGGTATCTATAAACTATATCTTAAGCACCTACTGTGTGCCCACCACTACCAGAAGGGGTTGCAGAGGAGGAGGAGAGACCAGATTACTGGGTCCTTGCCCTCCATGAGTTCACAATTGAGGTGGAAAGAGAAGATTCACAGGCAAGAGAGACAAAGCAGACCTGAGGCTGTGTGGCCATGGCCAGGGCTGCTGGTTCAGTGGGTGTCAGAGAGAAGAGAGTGACCAGTGACAAGTGGCTCAGCTGAAGGGAAGCTGAGCCCAAAGAGGGCTCCCTCCCCCATTTGAGGAACAAGAGAAGCAAAGGGAAGCGAAGGAGCAGGAGGTATTGGCAAGGCCTGAGTAAGTAGCCCACCTGAACCTAATCCCCACAAGACTTTCTAACACCCCCAAAGATGAATCAGCAGCAAACTGTAAACACCAAGCCCAGAGAGAAAACGAGAAGCAATTGTTCCCAGCCCTACTTCCATTTGCCAGCATTCTCCCTCTCTCTCAGTGGATGAAATTATTGTGGCTATGAAGTGGCACTTGGAGGGAAAGTTTTAAATCTGCTTAAATGTCACAGTGAGTAATACTTTGCCCCATCTTTCTCTAATTACATTTCTCTTTGATGATCTAAGGTTAAAAAAAAATTTTAACTCAAGTCTTCCTAGAATATCAAGGGTGAGGATACCAAAGAGCCAACCTAATCATGTTCCATACTATTTTCTCAGGCGTCCTGCTCTTTTATTGCATTAGTCTGAGAAACCTGTCTGTGTTATTGTATCCCCAACACTCTGCTATAGAGGAGAGGTAGGAGCCTAAAAGATCCAGCTCTGCACCTTTAAGAGATTGATGCCTCAACAGAAGCTGCTTCTGCTGCTGTTTACACTGGGTAGCTCAGTTAAACAGGACTTAGTGTCCTGGGGCAGGAGCTGGGAGGGAGGACATTTCACCATATACTGCCAGAAAGATGAGAGGTGAGGGCTGTGCCACCTGCTAAGGGGAGATAACCCAAATCCAAAATAAGCCATCATCGGGTGGGAGAGAGGGGAGGGTGGGGATCTCTAAGGAAGAAGGAATTCTCCACAGCTTTGAGGCCACCAGTGGAGAGACACCGGGAGGGGCCGTGGTGCACAGGGCAGAGGAGCAGTCCTGGAGGGAAGTGACACTGCACAGAATGAAGGAGTCTTCATAGCATCTGAAACAGCCAGTGCCCCCTTTCATTAACAAGCCCACTCCCCGGCTCACTCCTGCCCAATGATTGCTTTTATTTATGTATTGACTAGTATTAGTAACATGAATAATTAACCCCCTGTGAATAATTTACTTGGACCTAGGGGTGTCTTGGGTGGTGGCAGGAAGAGGACGGTGAACTTTAGTGACTCTCCCCTGAGCAGTTCCCTTCTTTTCCAGCTGCCCCTAGCTGGCCCCTTTCCCTTTCCGATGTCCGGGTTTTGCTTTCAGGGGTTGAAGGGCAAGGAGAGAAAATAGACCTCGAGCAGGAATTTACTCTCCTAAACTTCCCTGTGATGGCAGAAAATACACGCCACTCAGGTGTAGGATCCTGGGTGCCATGCACCAGCACCACAGGATGATGTTGGAGGAGATATCTTGGACAGTTAATAGCCTCTGCTGATGTGTCCTAGGGGACAGGAAGGAGGAGGTCTCAACCTGGTAGGGACACACACACTTATGCAGTGTGGATACACGCAGGGTCCGTGCACAGACCCATGCTGCATTCACACAAGCAGGCATACACGGCCAAACCACATACACACAAACTCTCCAAGTGCTTAGCAGGGACATGCCCCCCTTATGAGGGCACTTCAAAGGCACACCAAATAAACAACCACCACATGGCAGAGGCTCTATATGTGAGTTTCTGTTCGAGTCCATCTACTGGGTCGATTCTTAGACCAGCATATAACACCGGATAACGTAAGCCCGGGAAACCAAGTGACGAATTAACTATACTTACACCCGATTCCAGCAAGCAAAGGCAGGAGAAGCTAAAATGAAAAGATGAAGTTCCACAGTTCTAAAAATCATACTTGCTCTTTGGTTTGGCCCCGGGATCCTCAGAGAGAGGTGTCCTGGACGGACTCGGGGCCTGGGGCTGCGAACCTCGGGCCTCCGGGCCTCCTCCGGCGCTGGAGAGCTCGTATTGTGCTTGTAGCAAATGGGGTTGGCCTGAGTTTTCAGGCAGCTGGGGTCTCATTTCTTTAATTAAAATTGCAGACAAATCCTCTAGTAACGTAATGTAATCCGAGGGCAAAAAAAGAGAAACCCTGAAACCCCAAAGTGGCCAGTCGAGGGCCGGCGGGGGTTAGGCCAGCCGCTCCGCCCCGCCGCCCCAGCTCCCAGCCCCGCAGCCCGCGGGGGAGCGGGCGCGTTAATTTGCCAGGCTTCTGAAGCGAAGAGGCTGCCCTGAAAAAGCAAACGTGAGAGAGGACGGGGTGCAGGTAAATATCATTAACGTGAAAATCTGCTACCCCGGCCAAGTTCACCACCAATATTCACCCCCAGAGGCGGGGCTGCTCGGACCCTGCTCCCGGCTCCGCGCCTGCCACTCCCTCTCCCGCGCAGCCGAGGTGCCAACCCCAGCGGGCCTGGCGGGGAGTCCGGCGGGGTCCGGACCGGGCGGCTGGACCCCCGGTCCCCACGGCAGGAGCCACTCCGCCTTGCACCTCGGGAGCTGTAGGTGCCTAAAACGAAACCCGCGGGGGCAGCGCACGCCGCGCGAGTCCCGGTGCGGCGGCAACCCAGATAGCGATTCGGGGGCTTTATTCTTTTGATGGTGATTTAAAAATATATATTCTATTTGAACCCGTAAAGCAGACGAGGGCAAATCAAGCCGTCCCCCGCGCCGGCTCACCGGCCACCGCGCCCAGCGCCTTCCTCCCCCTCCGGCGGGCGAGCGGGCAGGGGAGCCCGACTCCTACCTTCCTCCCGCCAGCCGCAGGCGGACCGGCCGCGCTCTCCGGGGCGGGGGAGGCCGCCCGGGACGGGGACCCCCACCTTCCGCCTTCGGAGGCGGGCTGGGGTGGGGGTCGGACCCCGAGTCTCTACTCCCCGTCCCTCGGCCCCCCGGCGCGGCCCGACCGCTCCCAGCCCCATCCTGGCAGGTGGCTCGGGTGGCGGTAGGTGCCGGGCGGGAGGAAGATGTGGGGCTGCTCTGTCAGGTTGGGGGTGCGAGGAGGGAAAAAAACAGAGAAAGAGACACACAGAGAGACAGGGAGAGAGCGCGCGCGAGAGAGCTCTTGTCTATAGATTTATCCACATAATATATATTTATGTAGCTTTTTTTCTCTCGACACTGATGAATGCGCGCTCGGATTCCCGGCCGGACTCCCTCCAAGCCGGCTCGCTTTTCTAGTCTAAATAAATAAATAAATGAAGCCAGATGGAAGAAAAAAGCGCCCATTCCACCTCCGCCGCCGCCCCGCCCGCCATCCCTGCCTTTGCTTCGCCCGCCTGGCGCCCTAATAGAGCATAGCTTGGTGGATAAAGCCCCCCTACATACCCACAAGAAAATAAAAATCACTGTTTTTTAAATACAAAAAGTTACACCTGCTGCTATTACAAAAAGAACCCCCAAAAGGCAAAGAGAGGAGGCCGGCTGCCCGGCTCCTCGCAGACACCCGCTCCCCGCGGCCGCCGGGCCCGGAATCTCAGCGCCTCCCGAAGAGCCATGCGCCTGGCGCTATTTATAGCCGGGGGCCGTCTCGGACTGTACCACCGCCACGGCGCGGGGCCGCCGACGGGGGAGGTGCGGTGGGGCCGGCGCCGCCCCACGCCGCCCTGCCCCCGGCCGCCGCCCGCCGCGGCGCGAGCCCCCACAGCGCGCCCATTCCCGGCCCCCCGCGCCCTCCTCCGCGCGCGCACACTCGCCGCCCCCACCCCTGGTCTGGCTGGAAACTTGAACCGGTCCAGCCTGTTTAAACGGAAAGGACAGAGATCCTGTCTGTTCAATGTAAAAAAAAAAAAAAAAAGAAAAAGAAAAAAAGAAAAAAAAATCAGATCAGACCGAGAGAGAGGAGAGAGAGAGGGAGAGAGAGGGAGAGAGAGAGGAGAGAGAGGGAGGGAGGGAGAGAGAGAGGGGGGAGAGCGGAGAGAGAGCGCGAGCGCGAGCGAGCGAGAGAAGAGGAGAAAGAGAGAGAGCAGAGAGCGAGCGGAGAGCGAGGTGTAGAGAAACCGAGGGGGAGAGAACCCGAGTGTGTGTATGCGTGTGCGTGTGTGAGCGCGAGCGAGCGAGCGAGAGGAGCGAGAGAGTGCGAGCGAGAAAGAATAAAAGGAAAGAAGATTTTCTCTATGTATATAAAGATGGCCACGTTAGCAAACGGACAGGCTGACAACGCAAGCCTCAGTACCAACGGGCTCGGCAGCAGCCCGGGCAGTGCCGGGCACATGAACGGATTAAGCCACAGCCCGGGGAACCCGTCGACCATTCCCATGAAGGACCACGATGCCATCAAGCTGTTCATTGGGCAGATCCCCCGCAACCTGGATGAGAAGGACCTCAAGCCCCTCTTCGAGGAGTTTGGCAAAATCTACGAGCTTACGGTTCTGAAGGACAGGTTCACAGGCATGCACAAAGGTGAGTGCACCTTTCCCTCCCAACTTTGCCGGGGAGCAGGAGCGGGCGGGCCGGCCGACCGGCCGGCCGGCGACTGACAAGCGGCTGACTGAGCGAGAGGAAGCCTCGGGCGGGCGCCGTGGAGGGAGGCGCTCGGGCAGCGGAGACCAGAGCTGGGGTGCGTGGGGAGCTGCTCGCTGGGGCAAGGCTGGGTTTTGGGCGAGGTGCTGATAGGAACGATGCCATGGAGAGAGCAGCGGGCGCCGATGAAGAGAAAGAGAGAGGGGATCGAGGAGACGGGGCTTGGGTTTTTGGGTACAGCGACTTGAAAGATTGGGATGGGGAAGGCTGCACCGGTCGAGCCCAGGACGCTGAGCGGACGGACTCTCGGGCGCCTGGCCGGCCGGGGACCGAGGGTGCTGTCCATCGTCGTGGTGCTGAAATACTAAAGGAGATGGTCTCCTCATCCTTTGCTCCGGGCCAGAGTAGCAGGAGCGCAGCCGTCTACAAGGGAGAGAGGTGACAAATTCAAAGAAATATTTTTATTTAAATGTAACAGTAAACTCTCCCTGTCGAGCTGTGTGCCTCAATAATCTGATTGTGGTGTGAATGGTGGTGTGTGTTGGGGGTTGGGGGGGTGGATGTTTGAAGGAACCAGTGATAAAACCTAAGGCAAGAATTAGCAAGGAACCAGCCATCCCCTGGGTGGAGTGGAGGTCTGGCAAGCCTGGATAGTCCCCTTCCCAGGAAAGCGGAGCTTTGGGAAAAAAAAATATGTGTGTGCGAGATTTGCATTTTGAAAGGTGTACCCTAATTTATCCCAAACTCACCATGCAGAGAGCTTTATAGTACATTATTTTTCCCTTGAAGCGATCATTGACAGTGAGTGCTTGGGGGAGGGGGAGAGAGAATAATCAAAGAATTAAAACCCAGCAACTTTTTAGGAAAGTGGTCATGGGAATTGTCTGCAGCCTGCCGTTTTCTCCTTGTTTTATTATCTTTAAAGCAGAGCCCCAAACGTGTTCAGTTGTAGAATGTGTGTGGGTGGCTGGTGGGTGACGAAATTAGCCCAGTGCTCCGCTTCCTAACAGTAATATATAGGATGTGCAGCGGGGATGAATCGGTGCTGGAGCTATGTGGGCAAGTTAAATGCTTTCTGAGAGAGATTGATCGCCAGGCAGGGAAGGAGCACGGGGCTAAGGAAGTTGTAGGGGATGTGTATGGATGTTCCGTTTTTAATAAACAGTAGTGTGGAGAGCCGCCGAAGATGCTGTTACAGCTGGTGGTTTTAAAGATGAAAACACACACGCACACCCACCCCCACATAGAGAGCAGCCTCATCCTTGGCCACAAATGGGCTATGGACACAGCTGATCCTCCAGCACATTAGGTACAGAGCGCGGAGCTGTCTGGCTCTCTAAGCAGCAGCGATTTTCACTATCACAACCACCCTCTTTCTTCAGCCCTCCCTTCGTTCGAATACTAAACAGAGCTCCAAACTCTTCATAGTTGGAGTCCCAGAGAGCAGTTTTTATTGGCTTTAGCATCTTCCAGCTTGCCTGCTGAGGAGTAAATCTTAAAGTTAATGGCATGTTGAGTAACACAAAAACACAGCAGAATGGAAATATACTGGGTTTGTTGGGGTGAGGTGAGGGTGGGGGCTGTAATGGAGAGAGAAACCAACCTTTATCCAATATGGAGAAAATGTCTGTCTGTTCAAAAGGGAGATTGGAAAGGTGGAATGAGGAGGCAGTCTTCAAAACAATATTCGAAGAAAAAAAGAAAACACTTTCTTTTCCCTCCCTCCCTCTCAAGTCAACCGTATCTTTGTAGTTTTTTCCCCTTCCAATCAAGCTTCCTAGAAGCTAATCAAGGTTTGTATCAAACCTTTGTTATTCAGAATGTCCTCGTTTTAAAAAATAGTAATAACAAAAATTTTGAAAGCATAGGTAGGGAAACCTTTTGCCCATCTTAATGATCAGTTTTTGTGGTGATTTAAGATTTTAAAGTTAAAAAAAATCAGAACCCACTAGAGGCAAAAGACAGTTGTGAGGAGCTGGGCTTCATATGGCATGTGGATTAAAGCACTTTACTTGCTTCTTCATTTCAAATGAAGATAAACTTTAACAGTATTCCTTGGTTTCTTTTCTACAATCCCTGATATCATCACTTCGTTTCTGATGTAATTTGGACTCTCTCGTATAATAGCAAAGAAGTAGAATTTTCATCATTTGCATTAGGGAGATAGAGAAGGTTATCATTATAATATATATAATACATATATTACATATATTTTAGATAGATAGATAGATAGATATCTGGCCAGAATTCCTAGGACAAACAAAACTTCATTTTCTAAATAATTTCTCCCCTAAACTGTCTCAGTCAGTGGCAGGCAGGCCCAGTGGCTCCGGCATACTGGGTTCCTCATTGTCGCAGCTCACCCTTCGGAGCCTAAGCATATAATTTTCTCAGTGAAACTTCCTACCTCTCCATCCTTCTGATTTTTATAATTGAGGTTGGGCCACAATGTCCCTAACAGTGCTTGCAAGCTCTCAGAGAGCTGAATAAATGAGACCGTTTCCGAGGTCTGGTTTATTCAGTCCTAGAAGAGTTTAAACTCCTTCTTCATTGATGCAGCCTGATTTATTAGCTAATCCTGATAAAATAAGCCTCCGGCCACCTTAAAAAATTACTCGCTTGCCATTGGTGATTAATTACTATTAAGTTGAAAAGCATGATGAGGCTTGAGGAAGGAGGGTTGCATTTGGTTTCTAGATTTCCCCATCTCTAAATTGACAACATAAGGTTAGGGATAGAATCATGCCTTTGTTAAGCCTGGTTTCAGGGCATATTTGTGGCTCTTGCTCTCCCCTTCTTTAATTTCTAACTTCTAATGAATCATATGGGACAAAATTGAGAGACACAGGACACTGGCCTCCAATTTGGATGTCATGTTTATGTTATTGGCAAAAAAAAGAAAAAGAAAAAGGAAGACAGAAGGAAAAGAAAAAGAAGTAAAAACTAAATTAAACACATGAGATTTCAGGTGAGTCTCCATTTGTTGGCCACCTGCCATTTCAGATATCTAAAGAAGGAAGGAGTTCTAAGGGTTAATGGAATACCTGCCATGCGTAGAGTGCACCTTAAAAGGCAATTACTCCAGTCATATTGGGAGTCTGTGGAGGAGGGAGTGGGTGGGTGTTGTGGAGCAAACCCAGCCATATCAGAGAAAGGCTGTTGGGCTGGGGAGGCAGCAAAGAGCAGCTGTGGACTGGGGTGATTACTATAAAGGTAAATTTACCCCCTGGAGGCCAGAAAGCAATTGGAGAGAGGGGTATCTGGGTGCTACGCAAAGAGAGAAAGGAAGAAAAAAGCCCAGAATTAAAATTCAAAAAAACAACACCCAAGGAAGAAAACCGAGTTTAATGCAAACTCTCCGGAACAACTCAGAGTCTTCTTTTCTCCCTCATTAGAGCACTTTGGGAAAGATTGTTTTTCCAGGCTCCAAAGAGAAAGACATTGTACTACTGATTAAAGAGAAAAGAGACGAATTCCTCGGGTAGCAGCAGAAGTGAGCTGAGGGCCAATTTTACCCCTTCTTGTAAAATTTTTCTCCTCTGGAAAAGGGAACAGGTCACCCAGTAGTCCAATTCTTCCTTTCTCTCATTTTTAATTTATTTCTGTTTTCTTCTTTTCATTTCCTGTAGAACAAAAAGAGGCAGTGACTGAAGACACATATGTGCACACATACCCATACTTGTTAACACTCACTTACACAGTGGATCACACATGGAGAAATCAGCAATCCATTCATAACTTTGGTCCTATCTAGCTGGATAGGAGGCAGCAAAGACTGAGTTACTGGGAGATATAAAGACTAGTGCTCTCTGGATAGCCATATTATAATGCATTATCTTTGAAGTCATTTAAGTCCAATTTAAGTGGTATTTAGTATAATATTTATGAATTAATGTAATCTAAACATAGGACTGTCCCCAAAGGTTTAAACAGCCTTTACTACTGATGTGTGCTTGTTCCCAGAGCCTGCGATGCATTTTAATCTAAACAGCCAAGTCCACATCATAGTCCTTCTTGTTATCCAGTCAGAACAGATCTGTGCCTGGGTAAGCACTCTGCTTTGAGATTTTCTCCGTTGCATGGAGGAAAATATACTCTACTGGCAGCCTGGGGGGCTCTCAGCCCAGAAGCCACAACTGCAGGGATTTCAGCCCCTCATACTTCCACACTATATCCAGAAGGAGGGTGGGGACAGAGTAATAGAATCTTCTGTGGATTTAGCTCCAGAGAGTGTATCATTTTAAAATACACTCACCACTACATGCACAATCTTCTATTTCAACTACACCTGAATAGGAAATGCCTAAAGCCCCTTGATTTGGGGTTTAGCTGTGAGAAAGAGGAAGGACGGGGGTATGAATATGTTTTGGGGATTTGTGACCATCTTCATAGAATTATGTCTTGTATTTGTGTTTAAGATACAATAATTCTCAGAACACTGAATTTCCACCGCTTGACTTTACCCAAGATGGCTCGTTGTTTTGTGGGGTTTTGGGGATTTTTTTTCTGCTGTAGATAGGTGATTTAAAATTGTGAAGCTCTATGTGATTTCCATTTTCAAATGAGTCTAAGAGACAGTGCAGCTGAAGTATTAGCATGGGCATGAGCTCAATTAAGATGAACTTTTTAAAAATACTTTGAAAAATAAAAATTCAGTTCTGTCCAGGAGAAAAGGCTGACAGAATGGCTGGGTACACACCTATAGCTTTTAAAAGAAAGATTTGCCTTGTCAGAGATACGGAAAACTGAATAGCCATAATCAGAAAACAAGAAAAGCACTTTTTAAAAAACAACTTTCACCAAAGAAAATGATCAATAGCAATCATTACAAACGTAAAGCATATCAAAGCAACAATCACCATTAAAACAAACTCCAAAATCCAGATGTTGATAAGTGTCCTACTTAAGAGCAAAGAAAAAATATTGGAAAATGATTAGCT